GTGGGGGGAGCGGGAACATAGGGGTGGGAGAGAGGAACCACTAGCGACGCCACTCTGGGAAATACAGCCCCTCTTGTTCTGAAATTCACAAAATATAACTCTTTTCCTCTCTCCGACCCAGGTACGAGGGATGAATGACCCTCCTCATACTGTTGCTAGAATAAAGGCCCAGTATTTCACCTTGTCCGCTTTCTAGTACTTGTAGGGCAAGTATTATCTGCTCCGCTTTTATTCTACCCGCTTCCACAATGTCACTACTATAGTATTAGTATCAATGGGCATTATTGCTTCCGCAAGGTTTGCCTTACAGTCTACCCCCATTCCAATCCTTTTGCCCTGGAGAGCTTTATAGCGCTCATATTTCACAAAGAACCATTTCCCGGAGCGATCATCCAGAACGAAAGCGAACGGCATCAGTGACGATTGTCTAGTTTCAAATTTCACTTCATCGGGGTTTCAGCCAATCAATAAGAGCAGTTTCGTGAGGCGGCCTTCCTTGTGACTCTGAAGGCTTCTCCATGCAAAAGCTGTACATATAACATGGTGTGGCACAGATCAGTTCAGACGAGCGCTAAGTTTTTGATGGGCTCTGCTCACGCACCAACTATCGCCAGGCTAATACCCTTAGCACATGATTTCTGCCGAATGCTTACAAAAAACATCCGCTGCTTCTAAAGGCCGACAAAATTGCTTCAGAAGACCTTATCCAATTTTATTGCAGAATTGTCCGACGACGAGTTGGCTGCATTAGCGGATATCGTTCGAGAGGAAATGATACGGTATGACCAGCCACAGCAGATGGTCGCAATGCCGCAGTACGAAATTATCGAGATACCTGATGAAATGTTGGGAGATCAGGTGTTGGAACCATTCCCAAGGGATCGAAGGGCAATGATACCTATAGACTGGGAACTGCCGACAATGGATGAACCACAGGTGAGACTCGTTCAGAGAGGGCCCATTTTGAGAACTGGAAAGGTGATGCTCTAACCCATGTTCTTTGTAGTATATCCCTCTACCTGACGAGGCAGTGATCGAGGCGTTGAACGATGAGCGAGATGAGGAGGAACTGAGAGAACGCATCGCTGAAATCGCACAGATCCTCAACGAACGGGCCACCCGACGATCTCGACTATTCTGAGCCTGGCCCTTCGCCAAGCCCATCATCCATCCACCTAAATTCGCCATTTTCTGCTACTAACGCTGGTGTTATCTGCGTGTACCCCCGCACTGTAACTCACATCTATTTGTTACCGTTTCTAAATAATATCGAGGTAATTTTTAAACTTCGATATTATATGATTCTTTAATTGCCGGTGATTTTCGAGGAAATGAGAACCATACAAAAAGCACGGCGTATCTCATTTTCCTCTAATTCGTAGTTCAGTTCTGTACAATCTGTTCTCTCGTTGGAAAATAATATTATGACTCGTTAAAGATCTCTGTACCTAAACTTCTATGCTTGGTCATATCCTTTACTATACTGGTTTCACATCTGAATTGATCTCGCTGGAAACGTAGAAAAATAAATTTATTCTTTCCATTTTCATTTTTTTTTCATTGGTATAAGATCTGTATGCTGCTGCCGCTTTCGCCATTCGTAAAACACTTCAGGAATGCGCCGCGCATGCAACTTGTCTTCGCATTCGTAAAACACTTCAGGAATGCGCCGCGCATGCAACTTGTCCCAAAAATCGTAGAATGGTACTCGTATGCATTTTTTGAGGCTGCTGTATTCGGGTCAGGAATCCAAAAATGAACCGCAGCGGGAGTGTGTGTCCCATAAGACGGGAACTTAACCCTATGTTAGGTGATTCTTCAAACAGGAATTCTGAACTCGATCAGTCTGATATCCGGTGTACTGTCGTTTCTGTGAGCTTCCATCCTAGAAGGTACGGTACCTGATCTGCCTGGTAATCAAGTGTTAACTTAGATGTTCTCGAAGGTCTTATAGGGTAATGAGGCACTGGATCGACACGTAATGAATTGGTTTCCACCTTTTGAGCTCCGAAGAAGGCGAAATCGCCGAATCGTTAGCCGAATAAGCAACTATCAACCTTGTGTGCTGTTGAATGTAAGAAAATTACTTTTCTAATGATTTTTCTTCCGCCAACGAGGTTTTCAGGTGGAAGCTTTACTAATGGTTTGACGTCCAAAGCCCTGGACGTGAAAGGTTTCAAGGTTGTCCTTTGAGCAGCCAAAGGTCTCCTCTTCCCAGGGTTTCTAATGAAACTTAGGAAGATCAATTCAAAACCTGGACTAAGGAAACAAACGTAGCTGCTCCACCACCGCGAGAGCAAAATAGCGCCACTGTAAGCCAGTCAGGCCCCATCCACAGATCGCGATTAGTGCAACATGGCGATCAGGCGACTTGGCGATTTAGCGGTTACGTTGAAAATAATTTATACTTATCGATTGAGATCGCATCGACGAACGGTCACTGGAGTCAATTCGATCAGTAAGCAACTGGTTTTTTGAGCATAATCGCCGAGTTGCCGAATGGCTTTAAGGCATAATCGCCGAATTTTGGATCGATACCTATGTTTCCCTATAAGATAATCGCCAAATCGCGCTAATCGCGATCTATGAACGAGACCTTATTTTTTAGTATAAGTGAGACTTACTGTTTTAGTATGACTGAGACTAACTGACTACAGCTACTTCCGGGAAACACGGGCGGACGAAAAAAGGACACAATTGTGTAATTTCCTATGCGGTTGTCAATCAAAAATTTAATTCACCTCATTAGCCCTTGCATAAAGGCTATAATTTAGACATGCACGTCTCATTGTTCACATCAGCAGCTAGCAATGTGTGCAAACGACTTCTTGGGGCTTGCTGGTGGCGAACGCGCTTTTTGGCCCTCATTTGGCCTGCGAGGGTGACGCTATACATATTCCTACTTGTGTTGATACAGTTCAGGACAAGTCTGACGCCAAACATTTGGGAGACAGAATATTGAATAGAGGCTCTTCTCCCCCTGCGCCACTGTTTAGCAGGTGCAAATTCTACGAGATCGTACAACAAAAAATTTCAATATAAATTTATTTATTCGGTGTTGGTGAAAGTCGTACGATCGGAGACGCAGGTGAAGGAGGTAAAGGGGCCAAAGACGTGTCGAACATGGAGAACGGCGCCTTTGGAGTATGCTGGTTGGCCTGAAAAACTATCTTCTCGGAACAGTGGAATTGATTTTCAAGCCTTTCAAGATGAACTGGTCGTCCTCCTGTCTTAGCGGCGGAGTTTCAAGGCTCTGACGAAGGCGAAGAAGCCGAAACGTAAGCCTTGTATAAAAAGTTCAATCTTGAAAGGCTTGAAGAATCATTCCTACTGAACTAACCATGCCAAGATTGCAAGAAGGTCGAACATGGACTATTTCTGAGCCAAACACACTTGGTAGACTCTTATAACGTTTTTTTTCGAATTTCTATAGCGACAAGTGGACTAATTGACTGCAACTTCATCCGGGAAACACCCACGGAGGAAAAAAACAAAAATGTTGTGTAATTTCCTATAGGTTGTTCAATCCACAAATCCTCTCACCTCATTAAGAGGGAATTCTTTGACGCGCATTTTATAATTCTTGATCGTTCTATTGAGAAAGAACATTAGGGGGAACAATTTCGCAGAAAAGCCTGGTCCCAGAATTTTATGCAGTTCTGCGAATCGATAGGAAAAAGCGGCAGGAAACCGTTCAACGGCCTTGGTGGAAAGGCAAGTGCTAGGCACAAAAACCTCAATTAGACATCGAAATAAAAGCACTTGGGCAGCCATTTGGCAGTAATTGGACATAGCCAGTCCAGTGAATTTCCATTCTTTCAATTCTGGGAACTTCTCTGGAAGCTAGAAAAAGACATAATGCACCTCATTAGCATGCTTTTAATGACGTATGTCAGGTAATTGGAATATTGCCCTACTCTTTTACGTACAATTGTGATGGAGTATGTAACTTCTGGAAATTATAATCATAACAGAACTAGACTCACCTGTCCTTTTTTCGCCTCGCTTAGCAACCGCAATGCACCCCTGAAATCAACAGGTACAGCAGGGAATATTGACAGTCTAGCTGTTAATTTTAAATGCTTTCTTAGTCTGCCTATGACGTCTTAGGTGGGGAAGTTATCAATGGCCTGACGATGCGACCATATTGCCCCCTTAACAGCCATTTTGACACCTTTCTCGAAATTTGAGCAACGCTTAGGCTTCCGTGGAAGAAGATCTGGTCGAAGCGTCGCGTCTCAAAAAGGTTCCAGGCGCAATGTGGCTCGGGAGGTGGAGGGGACTAACATGCGAAATCGCGGCAGGATTACGGAAACGCTCAGTTTCTGGACTAGCCTTTGAAGAAGTGAGGGACTCCGGTGTGCGGAATTCTCCGTAGTTTGTCCCTGCTCCCTACACTTACCAGGGAAGGCATTCAACTTCCCATAGCACATACTTTGAGTTGAGAATCCAAAA